TGTAAAATGCTGCTGTGATGATAAAGAGAATGATCTGTTCAAGACACTGATGGGCAGGAAACAATGAACTCATATTATAGTAACAGAGGTTTGGGTTAGACATTTAGATTTTCTTAAAGGATAAGATAGGACAGTTGAGGATACCATAGCATAGCATAGAAGAATAGAATAGAATAGAATAGAATAGAATAGAATAGAATAGAATAGAATAGAATAGAATAGAATAGAATAGGAGTAGAAGGCCTCCATCACAAATGGTCTTGAGGTCAGTCCGAGATGGTCTTGAGATCAGTCAGAACAAAGTGTATGTTGATAATATGCTGGGGCCACTATACTCTATAATCATATCTTCTTTCATTTTGTTGATCTGAGCAATTAGTGAAGTGACATTTAAAAGGAATATAAAAAAGTAAAACAGCCAACCTTCTCTGAGTATGAATGGGAGTATCACCATCCCTTACTGTTCTTAAAAAAAAAAAAAAAAAAAAAAAAACCAAAAAAATAAATTTATAAGAGTATCGAAGAGATTTCTACAAAATCTTTTTTTTAGTGAACACAAGAAACTCAAATTTCATCTTAGAACAAACAGGTTATGGTTGTTCTAATTCCCTATTGTAACTGGTGTATTTTGGTATAGGAAGCAGAAAGAGAAATCTGATCTGTAAAATCATAATTGATAATTGCCTACATACAGTCAGCCAAACTAGTTATAATAAATCTTTCGGAGAGATAATAACAACTTAGATAATAACAACTTTTCACATAAGACATGATTACTGGTTGGTGGTGAGCAGGCAGAGGCAATAAAGACATACATGAAAGAAGAAAAACATTCTGTAGGTGAACCACTACCTAAAAATAAATTTTTCAATAGGATGATGTTTCAATAGGAGTTCAACGGTTTTAGGGAACTCATGTTACAGAATGGCCATGGAAATGTTTCATGAAAGCTCCAATTTTGCTTGCTGCTACTTAATGTGATGATAATTATGATAAAATAAACTATAAAAATGAGGAAAATACAGTAGTGTAAAGTTTCTTTATGGAAAAGAAGTAAGTTTTTAAACATTGCTAAGGGCCACAACTAAAAAGAGAAGTAACACGGCAAACATGATTCAGCTAATGTTGTTCATAATTAGTTGCTTGCAGATCTAAATTCATATGTCTGGTACTAAATATAATAGCTTAAATCACCTGAAGGTGGAAGAATTACTTGCATGTTTGTTTGTTTACAACTATGCATACAAGGTTAAGTTTTACACGTTTTATTCGCATGCTTCCTTCTGATCAGTTTCAAAGAGGAATACTTTTGTTATTTATCTTTGCTGATACTGACTTGTTTATACATACAAAGACAACATTACTTTTCCATTTTACAGTGATTTCTGGTTTTGCACGGAAATATTGTACAGATTACTGTACAACAGTTTAAAGCTTTACGTTATTAATATTCAGAACATAGCTTGAAAGCCGCAGGTCCATGCACATATATTTTGGTGACATTAAGACGCTTTGTGCTGATTTTGAGAGAAACCTCTTCCTAGAATTGCAAGAGAAACTACGGTAGTTTTACCTCTGTGAAAGATTAATCAGCCCACAAGAGGGCAGTGCTTCCTGCTCTTCAACAACCTCACTTCTATCCTCTGCTACTTGGAAAAAAAAAGGCAAGTGTGCCAACTCCAGGTGTTAGGGCACAACTCTAAAAACAGCATCTTCATCAACATTTTCGGTTTTGCACCAACAGTTTAGAAGAAGCAAAGTATGCAGAAGAATGCTCACCACAGCCTGCTATAGGCTATGTTCTAGGTATAGTAAATCTGTGGCTAGCCAATTATACAATAATTGTGTATGCTGCTTGGGGATGCTTCAACAATTTACAGTATTTTTCCCTTTTTTTTTTTGTGACTATTTGAATTCATGCAGCTTTAATTAAGGAATTTCAGTTTGAGCTACGCAAAAATAAAAAAAAATAACAATAAGCTATATTTCTGAAGCTAACTGATGATTCCTTCTTCCAGGATATTATTACATTCTGAAAATAGGCTTTGCAAGCACAAAAAGTTTAAGCTACCAAAAACATTCTTTTATGCTTAAAGCATTACATTTGAGGCTGAAATATAATGCTTTAAGCATAAAAGAAAATTTCTGAAGCCTCAGAGTGAATTGTACTGGTTTTTTTTTTAGGCTGGGCCTGAAACATGTATAATGTGTTGCTTACTTAGCTAGGTATTTTTAAAATGTCCACTCTGCAAATAACGTTGAAGGATTCTGCCCTTCCCCTCCTCCCCGAATAGACAATTTACTAAGGTGGTTTCAGAAAAGAGCGTGTCCTCAAATCATACCAATATTTAATGAGGAATTAAACGTGGCTTGCTTAGAAAGCCAAAGCTGACAGAATTTTTAGTGGTTATTTTATGTTAAAATGACAGTAAAATACAAGACAGTAGACATAATTTTAGTATATTTAGTATAATAGTGGTGATACTACAGAAACTTTACTATTCTATGAGCCGCTTTACATTCTTCATTTGCTTAATACAGGACACAACATTTGTGAAAATCTCAGAACATCTTTAGTTTAAGCCTTCTAACTACAACCAGTTATATTTCGTTTTTAGTCTCTTGCTATGTTCCTCAAAGAGATACATATTTCTGGGAATGGTTGCTTTATTAGCGGTAACCATCCTATTACTGTAGCTTTCTGAACCTCTAATTATTGGCCAAGATCACATTGTAGGAAATACTGAAAGAATGAAAAAAAGCTTCCAACCTTCATAGAGCTCCGAGCTAAGTATAAAAGAGCATCAATGATGACAGACAGAGCAAGAAGGAGAATATTAGACTTTTGGGTTAGCTTGATTCATGCTTATGTCAAGATACTAAAAGCTCAATAATTCTGAACAAACTGCGAGGTCCTCACAGAGCAGGGTAGCAGACAAGGCAACTGCAAGAGGGTACATAAAGAAATGGTCAGATACAAGGAGTTAGCAGTTTTGTTAGTAAATACAAATTATACAGATAGGACTAGAGAAACAAATAAAAAAAATCTGAATCTCATAAAAATACTTAAAACAGTTGAGACATTTTTCTTTAAAGTCCAGGATTATCCTCTGTTTTCAGAGAATTAATGGAATTTAATAGAGATTAATAGCATAAACAATTCCCATGATACCGGAACTTATTCTCTGTGAGAAATCACAGAATCACAGAATGGTTGAGGTTGGAAGAGGCCTCTAGAGATCACCTTGTCCAACTCCCCTGTTCCAAGCAGGGACACCCAGAGCACCTGGCACAGGGTCCATCCAGGTGAGTTTTGAAGATCTCCAGAGAAGGAGACTCCACAACCACCCTGGGCAGCCTGTTCCAGGGCTCCGTTACCCTCACAGGAAAGAAGTTCTTCCTCACATGGAGGTGGAACTTCCTGTGTTTCAATTTTTACCAATTACCCTTTTTCCTATCACTGGCCACCACAGAGAAGAGTTTGGCTCCATCCTTCCTACATTCACCCCTCAGTTACTTATACATATTAATCAGATCTCCTCTCAGCCTTCTCTTCTCCAGGCTAAACAGGCCCAGCTCACTTAGTCCTTTCTCATTAGATGCTGCAGCCCCTTAAACATCTTTGTTGCTCTATGCTTGACCCTCTCTAGAAGTTCCACATGCAGGGAGAATAACCCTTGAAGTGATGCATTATTTATACACTGACCTGTACAATGGTAACCAGCAGCTTGACAAATATAAAAAATAGCATAACTTTTGGGGTCATACTTTACAGGGAGGATATTCTGAAACACTGCTCTGCACAATAATACTGTGGGACCAGTAGTGATTGTGTGTGCATTCTGCCCTGGGTCATCTTTGCTTAGCATACCATTACTGCAGCACTATTCAAGAATCAGGACAGTGTATTGATGGAACTCTATTTCTGTACCTACATACAACTGTACATAATGTACCATTGCACCATCTGGATATAGTAGCTTATTTGTCTACAAGCATGAGAAGTACAGCCAATGGCCTAATGGATTACATCAACTTCTAGAAGCAGTCGTACAGTTACTCTTTTGTTCTTAGTTTGCTGACAGAGCTTGCTGACAGAGCACCTGTGCTGCCATCCTGAAGTTAGTTACTCTACTAACAAGACAACCCATACTATTGTTTTCAAAGCAGGCCTCCATATCCTCCCCTTTTTTTGTTTAACCACTGTATTCCCGTAGCTGTTTTTAAATGAATAGCCATAACTTGGTTTAAATGATCAATCAATTTTGGATACATAATAAGAAGCTAATGCTAACAATAAGCACTAATAATAAATACAGTTAGTACAATGATTCGAAACTTAAGAAGCAAAGTATGGATAATTACTCTCAAGGTAATACTTGCCAGCAGGATATTGAGATCAAACATCCTCTCGAGTTGGTGGATTACAGGGCTGTCGACAGGCTCCCAACTTGGCGGGAGTCCCACAGAGGCAACACAGGCTTCGGTGTTGGGAGTCTCGCCTCCCCCTCTCTCCGCTCTGTCTTTTCATGCCCGGTGCATCCTGCCACGTAGGGCCAGTACGTGCCTGGAGGCAAGCCGGAGGGCCGACAAGCTCCGCTTTCAGTCATATAACCTTCTCTCCTGGGTGCGCAGGTGCTCAACCAGTAGGGGGTTTCAGCCCTCAGTCTGAGCGTCCTGCCACTTCCTCATTTTCTTCCTCCTTCTTGCGTGTTGGACCTTCAAATTAGTTTAGAGGACGTTTGTGATTAACTTGGCTCCATGAACACAGTCTCTTCACCTATCCCCAGGGTTTTTCTGAGAGCAGAACTTGCTCACTGGACCAGGGTCTGGTCAGCTCAGGGTACTCATAGTCAGGTGGTGTGTGTAGTTCAATCTCTTGAGAGGTATCTCCTCACCACCTCTCAGCTTAACTGCCATGATCTGCCTCATTGCTCGTGTAACCAATGCAAACCGAGGCGCATCTTATCTGATATTTACAAAAGACTGTTGTTGTTTACCAGCCTCCAAGATGACCTTAAGGGCACAGGGAGCAAGTGCCTTAACTTGCTGCAAGCCTTCAGTGGAAATTCCTGCTTGCACTGTTGTAGCACTGCGATCACTCTCCCCCATTAGCGCGCGCACAGTAACAGTCCATAAATGACCTTTTTTTCGGCCACTTACCTCCAATACTGAGGCCAGGTGCACGCGTGGAGTTCCTTTCAGTCTTCCGTCCAGCCGAGCGTTACCCCACCGCACGACGATCGCGTCTGTCATTGTGGACGCCATTTGTGGGCGTGAGGAGGAGCAGGGTCTCAAGGCAGTGAGCCAGAAGGCATTTATTAAAGCATCAGCATACATACTTATAGTAAACTATCTGGATATAGTACCTTATTTGTCTACAAGCGTGAGAAGTACAGGCAATGGCCTAAAGGATTACATCAACTTCTAGAAGCAGTGGTACAGTTACTCTTTTGTTCTTAGTTTGCTGACAGAGTCAGATCACCTGCACTGCTATCCTTGAAGTTAGTTACTTGTTAGTTACAAGACAACCCATACTATTGTTCTCGAAGCAGGCCTCCACAGAGAGTACTAACGGTTTACTAACCTCAGAAGGTTAATTCTGCAAGATAGACTGGGTGGCTGAAGTGCTCATGGATCTTTGGAAAACAGTAACTCTGAAGGAAGGAAAAAGCAAAAATAGCCTATTAAATAGATCCTACTGCCCTCCTCAAATCAAATGTTATTTCAATTAAAATCACTTTCCATGAAACCATGCAGTAGGAGGAAAAATCACATAGTAAGAAATTAATTGCTCTTGATGATAGTAGTGGTGGTACTAGGATAAAATATTTAAGGACAAAGATACAAACAGGCTTAAGGTCACATTCATGTTTATTCCTACCTCCCTTTTTGGAACAGCATATAGCCTTGTGCTGAGCAATGGAACGTTTGAACAGAACTATTCAATATTGACTAGCAAGCAAGAAGTAATGACTTCATCCCTTCCTATGTTATCCAGAATTCACAGAGAGTCAGAAGAGTAGAAAATAGCCACTAAGAAAAATTCAATATATGCTCATGTGAGCATCATTCTCAAGGCAAATGTGCTGTAAACTCCTGGGAAAACACAGCTAGAGTTAAAAGAAGTCAAAGAAGCCACATTCAAAGGTTGTACTTTATTTTTTTTGCATACTCACAAATCCCCTTTCTCTTTCCATTTTTTCCAACACAAAGAACGTAAAATTAAATAGCCATTGAATATTATTATACAGCCACATCCTTTCAGTACAATCAAATGCAGGTAGGTTCTGCTAACAAGTTTGCTATGGAAGGTATGCAGAAGTCAAAAGTTAGACCCTTCAACATAGACAACATTGTCTATTTGACAAACAGATCCACTTACAGAACAGTAAATGACCACATACATGCAGATATTTGCTGTTTCTCAGTGATAAATTTTAATGCCCTGGATAGAGACAGTCTATAATCTATATAAACAACGTGTAAAACCATATCATAGTAACTAAACAAAGTTACTATTCATTTGGTGAAAAATATCTTAGGAACAAGGAAGGCAGTGAAATTAATGAGTAAATGTTGTCACTGCAAGATAGAGTTTAAAGCAATAATTAAGACTTCAAGGTCAGGTTGGCGGTAATTGATCAAGAGTTATACCTTTCTGAGAGCCTTGTGAACACATTATGCTAAACTTCCTTGCTGCACAAGTATGAAGCAGTCATTGCTAGAAGAGTTAAATCTTGAAATAGTAGGTATTCTAGGATGTTATGCCATGGAAATCCAGGTTCAGAATCAGTATTTGGGAAATGTACTTACTAGTGACTGTTTATCTGCATTAGATAACTATCAGTTTATAAGAACTACCAGGTTCATTTTAAGAGTAATAATACTTCAACCAAGTAAGGGAGAGATGTAGTCAAGTTTAAATACCTGTTGCACTACATATTTGCATTCTCAAATTTGTACTACATATTTTTATTAAATACAATTTAAATGGTCATGGGTTGGACTAGATGATCTCCAGAGGTCACTTCCAGCCTCAACCATTCTGTGATTCTGTGATTAAGACTTGTATCTTCAGCAAAATATATTTCTTAGAAGCCCAGCTAAGTTAAAGGTGCTGACCAGCTTTCAAGAGGAAAGAGCTTTGTGAAAGAACAAAAAGTAACATTCTCCTCATGGAAAGAATATTCCTCCTAGACAGTCTGACTCTCAATTTAAATACACATAA